AAAAAAAAAAAAAAAAAAAAAAAAAAAAAAAAAAAAAAAAAAAAAGAAAGAAAAGAAAAAGAAAACCAATAGTGTTTGTTATATTACTCTATATGTCTTAGTAAGGCTGAAATCATTTGTAGCAACTTTTAAATCTATAATAACTTCAAGACATGCTACATCTTTGCCTTCAGGGACTTGATAAGCATACTATGAATAATCGACTTTTATTGAGCTTTTCTAATTGCCCTGCACTGTGCTGTGCATTTTTGATGCTTTCTCATTTAATCCCCACATCACCCTATAAAAGGCCTTCCCTGGGCCATGGACCGTGGTTCATGCCTGTAATCCAAGCACTTTGGGAGGCCAAGGCAAGAGGATTGCTTGAATCCAGGAATTTAAGATTAGCCTTGGCAACATAGCAAGACCTCCTCTGTACAAAATATCAAAAAATTAGCCAGGTGTGGTGTGATGGTGCACGCCTGTGGTCCCAGCTACATGGGAGGCTGAGGTGGGAGGATCACTTGAGCCCAGGAGGTAGAGGCTGAGTGAGCGGTGTTTACGACACTGCACTCCAGCCTGGGTGACAGAGTGAGACTGTTTCAGAAAAAAAAATTTTTTCGCTTTTCAGAGAAGAAAATAAAGGCACAAAATCATGAGTCCACAAAGCGAGTAAGTGAAGGCTTCAGAGCTCAGACGCAGGGTAGTCTGATACCAAAACAAAGCTCTTAATTTCCTGGGCATAGACTCTTTTTAGCTTTTTCCTTGTCCTCCCCAAACTTCTTGTTCCTGTGATGTCTACCTGTCCTCTGGAACTGAATGAACATTCACTACTGGATGTCTTCATCCTCACCGTCGTCACCCCATGATGGGCAGTGTGCCCCTGGGGGGCCCAGGACTGGAGGGATCAAGAGAGGATGTCACAAGCCAAATCCATCCTTTCAGCCACTGCAGACCCATCTCAGAGTCTCCTGTGAGCAGCTCTTAGCTGCTGTCACAGTAGACGCTTAGCTTATGGGCTACTTTGGAGGAGAAACACTGAAGGTTAGAACAATCTTAATGTCTCTGGGCTACTTGAACATCTTAGACCCTTGTTTTAAATCCTGGGGCCCTATCCGAGCCAGTAATTCCATATGGATTGCAGCCACCGGCTTAAGTCAGCCTAATTCCAGGCTGATTCCATTCTCCAAATGAGAGAGACAAGAGTACTTCCTGCGACCTCAGCCTGCCTCCTTGAGTCAGCAGCATTTCTGCCATTGCAAACTGAACTCGTTCATTTCTGTAAATTTCCCCATGGGTAACAAATATTCTCTAAAAGACAATTTCAAGACAAGATTGCTTGAGCCTAGGAGTTCTAGACCAGCCTGGGGCTGAGATGGAAGGGATCGCTTCAGCCCGGGAGGTTAAGGCTGCATTGAGCCACAGTTGGACCAATGCATTCCAGCCTGGCAACAGAATAAGACTGTGTCTCAATGACTCTTTTAGAGAATGTTAGTTACCCATGGGGAACAATTCCGGCAGCACAGAAACATATTTTATGAACTCACTAAACATCTCTAAACACATGAACCCTCCCAGATGAGGAAACTGAGACACAGAGAGGGTAAGTAGATGGTGCGGGACCGCACAGCGAGTGAGTGGCAGAGCTGGACACACCCACACACACTCAGGCAGTCTGGCTGGAGTCTCTGTTCCTTATCCTTAAGCCCTGCTGTCAATTAAGCTTGGCCTCCCCATCCTCCTCCACAGCCGCCCTGTAATTGGCAGGAGCTGTTTGACCCGACCTGCAGTTGGGACATGGGGTTAACCCAGGTTGCCTGCCACAAGCAAGACGCCAACCATTGTTTTCAAATCCACTGCAACTCCGGGAGTGGGCTGAGCCCAGCCAGACTCCCAGCCCCCAATCCCGGCTCAGAGCCTAACTGGCTCAGCCACTCAGAAACTCTGCGTAAATTCATGTATGACTGTATCAACAAACAGTCAGCACCTACCAGATGCCAGGCGCTGTGAGTGGGACTGGGCTTACAGAGATTAACAAGGAGAACACACCTGTGAGGCAGGTACAGTGGCTCACACGTGTCATTCCTAGACTTTGGGAGGCCAAGGTGGGCAGATCGCTTGAGCTCAGGAGTTCTGGACCAGTCTGAGCAACAGAGCAAAACTCTGTCTCTACCAAAAGTACAAAAATTAGCCAGGCATGGTGGTGAACACCTGTAGTCCCAGCTTGCTACTTGGGAGGCTGAGATGGAAAGGATCGCTTGAGTCCAGGAAGTTAAGGCTGCACTGAGCCGTGATTGCACCACTGTATTCCAGCCTGGGCAACAGAGCAAGAGGCTGTCTCAATAAAATAAAATAGAATAGAAACAACCCGTAGGCAAGTCAGTGCACCGAGGGTGAAAGATGGTGTGGCTGAAGGAGGTGCCGGGCCCTGTTGTGTCACAAGCCTGTGGAAGGCAAGGACTAGGTCTGAAGCTGTTTTTGAATTCTCAGAAAAGAGCCCACTGATTGGCACTCAGTAAATGTTTGATGCTGAAGAAAGAAAGGAAGGGAGTTAGAGAGAGCAGGAGAGAGGAAGAAAGAAAGGAACAAAAGCAGGGAGGGAGGGAGGGAGGGAGGGAGGGAAGGAGGGAGGAAGGCTGGCTATGGGAAGGGGGAAGGAACAGAGGGGAGAGAGGGAAACAACAGCAGATAGAGAAGAGACCAGTGTATGTTGAGGGAGTCTGAAAATAGAGAGACAGAAGGGAAGGGAAAGAGGAAGAAGAGGGTAAGGTACTGAGAACAAAAGAAACAGCCCCCAGGTTATGATATGGTCTGAGAGTAAACTCATCAAAGTGAGCAGATAAAGGAATATGCAATGCAGGGCTCTCAACTTGGTGGCTGGGAGATCTGCCGTGAGGAAGTGCTCAAAGACAGCCCAGACAAAGGCTCCCAGGAAAAAGACGGGCAATGCCAAGAGCAGCACCAGCCACAGGACGGCCATGTTCCTGGGGCCTCAGGGAGCTGCTGCCCCAGGGAGCTTGCCTGAGAGCCTGTGTGGAGAGGACCCATCCGGGTTATACCCTCCGCCTCCTCCCCACTCTCTCTGGGCTAAGCCTGACACAGTGGCCTGACCTGGCTTCTCAGAGTAAGCACAAAAGGGCCAATGGGGAGCTAGAAGAACCTGTTTCCCTAAGCAATCTGGGGACCCAGAAAAACCAGTTCTGCCCATCAGGGGGAGTCTTGGGAGGTGGGCTTCCCAAGGACCTTCTGGAAGATCAGGCTGAAATGGGCATCTATCTCAGCTCCTGGGAACCCTGGAAAGAGATTTCACGTGGGTTGTATAGGCCTCCAGGGCCCAATCCTTCAACTGTAACATAGGAGACTTGAGCATCTTTCTTCATCAGCTTGTGCTTAGGGTGAGCGCAGCAGATCCCGGCTCCCCAGCTGGCTGCCCTAACCCCTGTTTTGTTTTGTTTTGTTTTTAAAATAAGGTCTCACTCTGTCACCGCCTCTGCACCCTCTGGGCCTCTGGCTGGACCAGGGCAAAGGTTGATGTGTTTTCTGGTAGTGATGATCTTCTGGGGTTCTGGGACCGGGAGGGAGGAATGTCACTGCAGGCAAAACTAGGCTCTATCCAGCCTCATCTTCCCTCTCGACAAATGGTGCCCAGGGCTGGGGTGGGGACAATTTTTGTCCACATTGCTTTCTTTTAAGAGAGAAGGAAATGATCAGAACCATTTTGGGAAATAGGCTTTGAGCCTGAAAATGTTAGATATTTTAATTTGACAAACACTTGTGTTGTGCTGATCACATGACAGGTCCCCTCCTGAGTCCTTATTTTATTTTATTTTATTTTATTTTATTTATTTATTTTTTTGAGACAGAGTCTCACTCGGTTGCCAGACACCAGGCTGGAGTGCAGTGGTGTGACCTCGGCTCACTGCAACCTCTGCTTCCTGGGTTCAAGCAATTCTCCTGCCTCAGCCTCCTGAGTAGCTGCGACTACAGGCGCCCACCCCCACGCCTGGCTAATTTTTGTATTTTTAGTAGAGACAGGATTTCACCATGTTAGCCGGGATGGTCTCCAACTCCTGACCTTGTAATGCCCAGACCTCAGCCTCCCAAAGTGCTGGGATTACAGACGTGAGCCACCGCAACCCCGCCCCTGAGTTCTTTTATGAATACTTACTCTTCAGGCACTATAATGATGTCCACTTTACAGATGAGGAAACCGAGATGCTGATAGCAGAGAACTCATCTAGAGCCATGGAGCTAATAAATGGGAGAGGTAGGGTTTAAGTCTGGCAGACTCAGGTCTGAGATGAACCTCTTAACCACTCGGCTACTCTGTGCCTCCCCTGTGGCCTCGACTGGAGCATTAAATTGGGGTTAGGGGCCAGGCACGGTGGTTCACACCTGTAATCCCATCACTTTGGGAGGTCAAGGCGGACAGATCGCTTGAGCTCAGGAGTTCAAGACCAGCCTGGGCAACATGGCAAAACCCCATTTCAACCAAAAAATACAAACATTAGCTTGAGGTGGTGATGCACACTTGTGGTCCCAGCTACTCAGAAGGCTGAGGTAGGAGGATCGTGTGAGGCTGGGAGGTGGAGGCTACAGTGAGCTGAGATTGTGCCACTGCGCTCCAGCCTGGGTGACAGAGTAAGACCTTGTTTCAAAACAAAACAAAAGTAGGGTTAGGGCAGCTAGTTAGGGAGCTGGGATGAGCCGTGCTGTGCTCACCCTAACCATATCCTGACGAGGAAAGCTGGCCAAGGCCTATCTTACTGTTGAAGGATAGGCCCTGGAGAGCTATACAACCCAAATCAGGATACGAACACCTCTGGCACCCACACGTTCCCTTCTCCCCATTACCACCCATCCTCCAGTTACTGCACCCACCAAAGGTAGCTATTCTCCTTTCCCCATTAGCAGAGACTCAGAATGGTTTCTGAATTTAAATTAATGGAATCATGCAGACAGTATTCTTCTGTTTGTTTGTTTTGTAATGACAGGGTCCAGCTGGGTGCGCTGGCTCATGCCTGTGATCCTAGCACTTTGGGAGGCCAAGGCAGGCAGATCACGAGGTCAGGAGTTTGAGACCAGCCTGGCCAACGTGGTGAAACCACGTCTCTACTAAAAATATAAAAATTAGCTGGATGTGGTGATGGGTTCCTGTAATCCCAGCTACTCGGGAGACTGAGGCAGGAGAATCTTTTGAACCCAGGAGGCGGGGGGTTGCAGTGAGCTGAGATTGTGCTATTACACTCCAGTCCAGAAAGTATTCTTTTATGTCTAGTGTCTCTCACTTGACATCATGTTTGTGAGATTCTTCCCTGTTGTGTATATCTGTTCTTTCATTCTCATTCATATGTATCCTTCCACTGTACGTATGCAACACAATTTTTTTCCTTTTCTGCTGCTGACAGACATTTGAGTTTTTGCCAGTTCTCCAGTGAGTACCTCTCCATTCCAAACGCACAATCTGGGTCTGCTCTGTGAAAATGGAGCTGGAACCTCTACATATTTTGCCTTTTCCTGTTGGTGCCTATGCTTTGTCGGTAAAGGTCCTGGAGAGACATCGCAGAAGAGAAGGGTTCTGCTTCCAGGTTTCAGGTGCTCACACAGCGGGATCCTGCAGCCCCTAAAGCTTCGACAGTGCCTGATATCTGCGTGTGGGAAGGAAAGTTTCACATCAGGAATTCTGAACTTCCACAGGGTATTGGCGTGACAAGGCCTTGGCTCGAAAGAAGTAAAGAGAGCTCAAAAGAATATAGAAATTCACCCTGGACACGGTGGCTCATGTCTCGTAATCCCAGAACTTTGGGAGGGTGAGGCAGGTGGACCACTGGAGGTCGGGAGTTCGAGAAACAGCCTGGCCAACGTGGTGAAACTCTGTCTCTGCTAAAAATACAAAAATTAGCCAGCCATGGTGGCAGGCACCTGTGATCCCAGCTACTCGGGAGGCAAAGGCAGGAGAATTGCTTGAACCCAGGAGGCGAAGTTTGCAGTGAGCCAAGATAGAGCCACTGCACTCCAGCCTGGGTGACTGAGTGAGACTCAGTCTCAAAA